TTGCTTGGAACTTTTGAATATTTCATTTGATTGTAAAAATTTTTTTTTTTTTAAGAAGGCTTGTGAACTTGTGAAGAAAAGGAACTTGGAAATGAAGAGTTGTACCAAGCTGACTTGAGGACAAATTCACTAGACATTTGTGCAACATTTGTGTGTGGATCTTATTCACCAACAATCAGTTATCCAGTTCAATCAGGCTCTAAATGCACCATGAGTATTTAAATAAAGCAATTCATTATAAATATATTTTCATTATTTTCTACATTGATCAAAAATGACAGAATATTTTGTATTATAATATACGTATATATATACAGGGCCTGAAATTAACACCCGACCACCTGCCAAATGCGGGTGAATTTTGCTATTGGCGGGTAACACTGTCAATCTACCTGCCACATTGGCAGGTAGCCAATGAGAATTGTGAGTGATTCATTACGATTTTTACATTTCAACAAAGTCCGCTATTGCGTTGGACTTTAGCTAAAATGTGGCGGCACATTACTGGGGTAAAGAGGCCAGCTGAAACAAACAGCCAATAAAAAGATGATGAGGAAAAGAAAAGTAAAGAAGACATTTTAATACAAAGTGAACAATCGGCGGCAATGGCAAGGTTCGTGAGCGGCTGATTTATGACAGCGACTGTTGTTTCGCAACGTTCATGCGATCAGAAAGAAGATGAGACCCTTTTTCTGACTACGTTTGGATGTGCGAGTATTAAACTGTTGGTGAGATGGGATGAGATAATGTAACGCTGACGTATGTTACAGTACAATGACAGTTGCACAGATGTGTGTGCGTGTGCAACTGTGCATATTAGGAGTTGGGAACCGGTGAGAAAATGTCCGGTACCCGGTAATTTTACCAGTAATAACAGTATTAATTTAGTTAATATTTAACGGTTCCTGAACGCTATAACTAAAAGCTGTTAAGAGTAAGACCTGTCTACGTGAATAAATCCGCCATCAACACAGCCGCGTGTGATTTGTTTACGAGCTGCGGTAGGTCTATCTGTTGAGTATATACTATATTATAGCTAGCCTGCCCTGTTGTGTTTGTGTCTGTCAAAATCAATGAATAAAAAGATTTTTTTTAAATGTATGTTGTTAGAGTTATTAGGCTATTACTTGACAGCACTTTAAAGAAGTTAAGCAAGTTAAAGAACAAAATAGTGAAATTCCCGGTTTTTACGTTTATGAGGCAAAAAAAAAAAAAAAAAAAATGGCTGGTAAAAAGTCTCTGTGGCAGGTGAATTTTTAAATCCACCTGCCACAGTGGCCGGTGGCCGAAAAAGTTAACTTCAGGCCCTGTATATATATATATATATATATAGATATATATATATATATATATATATATATACTGTACATAATAGTAAAAGCAGGAAATGCAACTGCAGCACTATAATTCTCACAGCACCATAATTAAACATGAAGAGTTCAGATGCAAAAGCCTCTAAATGCCATTTGAAATTTTCTTCTTTAATGATGATTTTTATCAAACTTGTATATTTAAGTTCAGTAATTTCACTTGTTATTTAAGTGAAATTACTGAACTTAAATATACAAGTTTGATAAAAAATCATCATTAAAGAAGAAAATTTCAAATGGCATTTAGAGGCTTTTGCATCTGAACTCTTCACATATTAATTTTATCCAGAAAGGTTCAAACGACATTCACCAGTGACAACTGGAGAGGTCCGTTGTAAAATACAAAAGACTTTGTTCGGACTTCGGAGTGGCTACAGAAAAAAAAAGAGAGACTGCAACCAGACCCATGCAAAAACAAGGATACGTACAGTATCATAATAACTTTACATGTAGTCATGCGATGCTGATGTTGTTAACATTTACAGTTTGAGAACAAAGTATAATTTACATGGTTTTGCATGATATGATAAGCAATTTTGGTAACGCTTTAGATTACAGCCCAGAAAGTACTGTGTAATTAAGAGGAATTTACAGTTTAACTTTCTGTAATTATAGTGTACTTATAAAATACTTACATGTAAGTATAAGGGAACAATATGTAAAGTTTGGAGAATAAATGGCTAACAACCAGGAGAAGAATTAAAAAAAAAATTTAAACTCTAAGTAATTATAGACCTAAGAGGTACTTCACTATTATTCAGTATTAATTAATACTTATGATATTACATTTGGGAGCAATTTAGCTACTACCTTTTTGTAATAATTGTGTACCAGTGCATACTGTATAGCCTTTTTAGAAATGACAGGGTACATATCTATGCATTTATAAAAAAAATAAAAAAATAAAAAAAAATTGATAGCAAAATTTGCAGATGTTTATCTATCTGGGCTAACATTAGCCAAGAAAAGCTAAGACTACCGTAATTTTTTTTAGATATACTGGGAAATATATATGGTTTCATGTGGTTACAGGTTAAGTGGTGCTTGCATAATAAGTTTCCGGGTCAGTGATATAAGATTGTGTCTATACATTTTTATTGTACTTACCCAGTAACTACATGGAACAAGAGGGTAACAAGCACCACTTTAATTTACAGCCTGCAATGTCACACTTACCCTGTAACTACATGAAACAAGAGCCATGCAATTCGCCATGCAACATGCACACCTGCTCTTAAAGTCCCTGTGAAATCAAAATTGACCCTATTTACTTTGTTAGCATATTACTAGTCTTGTGGTGAACAATTAATCCGTGCAAGTATATATATATATATATAAAATGGGTAATTAGGTTTTTCCATCTTCATGTAAACCAGAATGATTTCCCTCATGTGCTAATATTTTTCCTTATTATAATGTATTATTTGCAAAAATAAAAACTACTGCATTTGTGTTGATGAGAGAATCAAAGTGTATGCGCGATGTGCACCCCCTACATTATGGCCAAGCATGCACGCTTAAAATAGCATTATGAACAACGCGCAACGTGCCACTGACTTTAGACCAGGTTTTTCTGGTCAGTGGCGCAATTGTTTTCTGGAACTGCAAAATAGCACTAGGGATGTTTGCGCCAAAACATGCCTCCTTTTTTTGCGCCGATCCGCCCAGGGAGCGCAAATTCATTCCCTAGTTTACCGACATGCATCTGTGGAGGGAAAAAGCCTTTGATATATGCGTCAGTTTTGCTCCGGGTGCAAGATAAGGCCCTATATGTTTCACGCCTATACAGGCATTTTGACAATTTTGTGTGAATTTGCCAGTGAAAACCAAAAGAAGACATGAAAGAGAAGATGAGGGGCAGCTTTCTGGATGCACACTTTGGATATTTGAGCACAGAAAACTTAATGAAATCGTCATGTGATCACTAAACTGCCTTCCTGTAATAATAGGGAACCACTTGTTATATAAATCACACAGTAGTTCATTTTTTTACTTGCACATGTTGCACTTTATGATCAATTAATCGTTTAACTTTCTTTGCTTTTGTCATATCAGATTGAACTACACACTTTCCTACAATCTACAATATTGGTAATGGTGCATCCCTAAATATTAGTTCATCGTAATATGGATGAACATCGATCTGTTGGGTAAACCAGGGGTCATGTCATCTCTCCAGTGTCACTGCTGAGCACACTGTTACTAGGCGGATTTTAAACTGGGTCATGACCACGGAGAAGGGAGGAGGCTACAAAGCAGGCTGTTGCTTTTTTTGGAGTAAAGCAATGCTAATTTAACTATGATGGAGTTACACTAGCCGTCTTGTTGACAAGGGTACCAATATTAGGCACATGATGATAGAAACCTTCAGTAGAGGCTCATTGCTTTTAGAAAAGTATGCAAGTCTCATATCAGTGAGTGCACAGAGGAACTGCTATAACACAAACCTCCAACCTGCAAACCTCCTCACAGGACTATAATTGTAAGTGGAACATTATTGGTCCTGACAGCCAGATGCCTCTGAATGCAACCCTTCATTGGTCTGGATTATTACGATTGCAAATGTTCTCAAAAATCTGAATAGAGCAAATGTGCTGGTTTACAAAAGAGATCAAGCATCTATCTCCCTGTGTTACAAAAACTTTCTCTTTCAGTATTCCGCATTTCTCTCTTCCTTTTCTTCAAAAGGTCCCAGAGACTGATATATAAAACATCCAAAGTCTCTCCTGTTGCTCAGCAGATGGTATAATTAATAAATAAAAACCTCTGAAGCTACAACTCTGAATAAAAACAATTTTACCTTTTCTTTTTGCCTTGACACTTTCTTTTTCTATAGAACTTTTACTGTAACTCTCACACATTAGACCTAGTTACCTGATTATGATCTGAGAATTGGTAATGGTTAAAGTGTCCATACATGCAATGCACCGGAGGCTTCCTCAACCCGTAAACAGCAACGATGATGTCAGTTTTACCGTACCTATTCGGACCTGGGTCCTCATCCTTGTCCTCATCCTTTGGAAAAGCATGCAAAGTGGATTTGCTTCGCAGCACAAAAAACAGTGTCTTCTCAACATGTCGACAACTTCAGGCTAAGCTACAACTTCAGTGGTTCTTTTGGGAGACAATAACTTACTGTGCACTTTGATCTTTGAAACTTTGCACACCTTTTACATAAACACCCTAAACATATTACACACTACATTACAGGTAATATCTGAAAAAGCATAAAAAGAAAAATCAAAACAAAATTAAATTAAATTTACAAATCCAGCCTAAATACTTTTCTAAATGTTGTCTGAAATTGAAAGATTGTCAGTAATGAATTACTTCAATAATGAATCATGACATTATTTGTTATAACTAAATAAAATGCTTGATAAAGTATATTTAGATAAACGGAATAATTTGCATGTGTGATACCCAGTAAATTGTTATCACATTTGTGGTGATGGTAATGTTATTAAGAAATATTTTGAACTTTGTTCATGGTTAATTAGCCTATTTCTATCATCCACTTGTACTAATATATGGTATATCGAGATCAGGAGAAATTGTGGAGTTCGCCAGCAGTGGGCAGTGTGGCGCTTTGTGTGTTTCCGGGCTTCGCGTAGTTGTCCCGCTTTGCGGTCTTTCTCTTTCTGCTGAGCGAGTTGGAAGACGGACGCCGACTTTGCCCTCTCTCATTTATTTCTCCTGTTTCAGGTTGGTAGATTTGTAATTAAGTTAAATAACTGAAATGTTAAATGTGTACATGTCGCTGAATGTGTTTTCGGGCCGTGTAACAAGGCTGTGGTATGAAAATGTGGACAAATATGCAGGGCCGGCGCTAGCCATTTGGGTGCCCTAAGCACAAATGCTTGGTGGTGCCCCCTTAACAACCCCCCCACCCCAACCACCCACTCACCCAAGGAATAACAACCATTCAGAATTTCTTAGTTAGGTTCTCTTTACTTCCAAAATAACTGCTGCAAATAAATACATTTACATTAACAATGGCACCAAATATGAAAAGAAATAAATAATAAAAAGGTTAAAATTATAAATACCAAAAACCACCACAATTACTAAAAACACATTTTTGGAACTGGCTACAACTGCTGGTTGATGGTTCTTCCTCCTGGCCTTGAGTTGCTCCTTGCATGTATTTTAGCATTGACCCTGCATTCAGAAATACAAGACAAAATATTCAGGGATTCTACTGAATCAATAACCATCATACAAAAATATTGCACACATTAGTCTTTTATATAATATAGGCCTATGTGTCACTGGAACATTTAAAATTCAAAACTCTATTCTACCTTTAAAAGAGGTCTGATGAGGCACAGTATAATAATTCTGTACATAATTTGGCTGGGAAAAGATGAATCGCGATTAATCGCATCCAAAATAAAAGTTTGTGTCTACATTAATGATATAGGCCAATGTGTGTGTACTGTGTATAATTATTTTGTATATGTATTTAAGAAATATTTGTTATTTATATATAAAATATTTTAATTTATATATATATATATATATATAATATAAATTATCTATAAATATATACAGTAGCCTATATACATGCAAATATTTCTTAAATATATATATGTGTGTATATTATATAATTATACACAGTACTCATGTAGAAACTTTTATTTTGGATGTGATTACGCTTTTCCCAGCCCTAATAATTTGACAACTCCATATGAAAATATACAAACAGTGAGATTGTGTTTTTTTTTTTTTTAAATTGCAGTTTCACCAATAGATGTCGCCCTTGGGCCTTTGACCGCATTATCCGATAGAACAACAACGAAAAAACATATCTAAGCGATCTTCCTTTTCTTCTCAAACAAACTAACTGCATCTTAAACAGCCCAAGTAAAAAAAAAAATCCCAGGGAGAAACCCCCGGACCCCCATTAAAATAAAAAAATTCTACATGCAGGGCAAAGCCCTGGATCATTTGCACAACTAGCGACGCCCCTCTGGACATGCATACACGAAGCAAGGGTGCCTACAAAACTAACACTTTTATTTAAAACATTGTCTTACCTGCAAACAAGTATCATCCCACTGTCTCTTCTTTTTTCTGCCCCCGACTCTTTCGAGGCCATGTCTGATGTCGATCAGGTGTCTGCCAAATTTGACACTGATTGAGGAACAGACCACTGCGAGGTGGGGAAGGGGGGGCACCAGAGGGATAGTGGCACAGGAGATTCACCTTTATCTCCACTAATTTGGTCTAGGCCTATATTACTTTTGTATTGCTTTTGTATATTAACATGCTTTAGACATATTGTATTTGTTATTTATACTAGTAGTCTATTGTGATGATTTTTCACCACCCAGATTTTTTGGTGCCCCCCCAAGCACTTGGTGCCCTACGCGCAGTGCGTGATGTGCGTGTGCGGAGCGCCGGCCCTGCAAATATGAATAGAACGTTATCTCAGTGTCTGTATGTTCGCGCCCGATGACGTCATCTGTGATTACCAATGTCAAACGGAGTTTTATTTTGTTAGCTTTTGAACATTTTGTAAAGTATAATAGTTTTGAAAGGTATGATATTGTGTAATGTGTGAAAAGTTAGTGTTAAAACCTAACGTTTTGTATTCTAGAAGTGGTTAAAAAAAACAAGTTATAAGTCTGTCAGCTCATGCATTGTGGAAGAGTAAAGAAAATGATGCAGGTTGAAAATGCATTTAGGGGTTACATGCAAGTGATAACATAAGCTAAGTTTTATATTAAGTTTAAAAGAGACTACTGACAAGGTAAATGAGGTTTTGTCATATTGATTTATTTGGTCATACACAGTTTATATCTCAGTAATTGCTGAAAGATGAGAAAAGACACATTGTATTTTATTTTTGAAACTGTCTATTTCATGAGAAAATATTGTGTGTTTGTAACCAAGTAGGATTGAGAATGGTTGTGTAATAAATTCTCTCTCTTTCTGCTTAGCGAGATGGAAGACGGACACAGACTTTGCCCTCTCTCATTTATTTCTCCTGTTTCAGAGCAAGAGCATATAAGCTGTTTACATGACACCGGCCGGTACCTGTAACACCTGCATCATATCAGGTGAACCTGATTTCACTAAGTACCACATGTTCCTGGATCAACATCTTTGTTTATCCTGGATCAACTTTTCAATCAACCAATCAGATTTTTTGGGACTTTAGCCTATTCACCTTATCCCCCAGAGTTAGATAAGTCAATTTTCATCTCCGTGCGTGCTGTAACTCTGTTTGACGCACCCACCACTAACCTAGCTTAGCACTAAGACTGGATGTAAATGGTTGCAGCTTTCATACTAATCCAAATGAGTGACAAAATAACGGAAACGTTTTCCTATTTACATGTTGTGATTTGTATAGTCACAGAGTGTACAAAAAACAAAGTCAAATGAGACCGACATCTTTTAACCGAATAAATACTGGGAACTATATTCTCTGAAGGCGAAGCACTGCTACTTGGGCAGAGTGATAACCGCAGCACCTGAGACGCGCCGTGGTGAGGAGCAGAGAGTTTGTTTAGAATTTGAGTAACAGAGTCAGCTATTTATAAATATTAAAAGCGTAGTTTGCTTGGTATACATTTCACTGAGGACGACTATTTTGAAAAAATGGAATTTGTCACACGGACCATAAACGAAGGATACGGCCATCCCATCGATAGCACAGACAGGACAAAGTGGATCACCAGCCGCTGCGGTAAGTGTTCTGTTATATTTTTAGATGACCTACTGTAACAGTGCCATTAGCCAGATCTAATGTAACGTTAGTGACACTATTATGAATAGGGTATGAATATGTTTTTATCTTGATGCAGCGTTTTTGGAAAAAAAAAATGAGCGTGTTGCACCCTGCGTGCCTACATTTGAAATAAAAAACTTGAGCAAAAAGCAAAAGCCGCAATATAGTTAGCAGGCCCTAATGTTAGTATTGTTTTATCACGAATGTGCTCTATCGCCCCAGTAACAAATGAGCGGAGCTGTAAACTCAGGACTGTAGCCTTCACCTTGCTAATGAATCTGAGTTTTTTTTTTTTTTTTGAGAAACAGTGACCTTGTCCAGTACGGGTACATTAGGCTGTGGGTTCATTGTGCAAAAACAATTTGCCTTGTGCTATTACTTTCCCCTTATTCTAGCCTATTATAATACAATTATACTGTATTATATGCTGTTTAATACATTTGGTTCAGCTAATAAATTGCATTTATCGATTCCTGTAATAATAATTCTTTATTCACGTTCTGTGCTATTTATAAATCAGGATGCATTTTTGGTTGGAATTCAATGAAACATCATGGTATTACTTGGTCTCCCCTGTTTATTGTCACAACTCATACAATAAAGCGAACACCCATGATAAACTATGATTTTCTATCTTGTAATTGCTGACTCAATTGGCTTTATGCCCAGCTGCACTACTTCCTGAACTTCAGCCAGCTCCTTGTTTCCTGTCTGCCATTATTGGCCAAATTGATTAATTCAGGTGTGTCTGATTATTGTTGCCATGACTACTGAGGTCAAACACACCTGAATTAATCAATTTGACCAATAATGGCAGACAGGAAACAAGGAGCTGGCTGAAGTTCAGGAAGTAGTGCAGCTGGGCATAAAGCCCATTACTCCAATTCTGAGCGAACTCTCTGCTCCTCGTCACGGTGCGTCTCAGGTGATGTGGTTATCACTCTGCCCAAGTAGCAGTGCTTCGCCTTCAGAAAAATATAGTTCCCAGTATTTATACGGTTAAAAGATGTCTGTGTCTCATATGGCCTTGTTATTTGTAGCCTACAGTCTGTGACTAATACTAATCACAACATGTAAATATGAAAATGTTTGTGTTATTTTGCCACTTTTTTGGATTAGTATGCTAGCTGCAACCATTTACATCCAGTCAGTGTTAAGCTAGGCCAGCGGTGGGTGCATCAAACAGACTTATAGCATGCACGGAGACGAAAAAGGTATGTATGGACTTATCTAACTCTGGGGGATAAGGTGAATAGGCTGAAGTCCCAAAAAGTTGAAGTGTTCCTTTAAATATCAGTGTTATTAACTTTTCATTACCCTCTGATTTTATGGAAAAGTCATGGGTAGGGTTAGGTTTAGGGGTAGGGATTGAGTAAGGACAACATTTTGGGACAGAAATGTTGATGCAGGATCAACAAAATATGTTGATCCAGGACAATGTCTGTCTTGGCAAAATCACGGTGACCCCTAATATCAGCAAGATACACAATCAAATAACAATAATGGCTTGTTTTTCACTTTGCCAACATTTCTGACATATTTCGACCCATCAACCCATAGTCTGTGTGGTACTTTCCCATTGGAGGGTGTTCGCTGTGAGGGAATTGTCAAATCTAATGAATTAGTTTCCTGACAGGAAGAGACAGAAACGTTTGGCCTGCAAAAGGGTCGTGCTGATTGCTTTGAAGCCAGAGAGCCAAGTCAAATACGCGCTACAGAATCTCTTTGTCAAATCGGATGTGAAAGGTTAAGTTAAGCGGACCGTAGGACTAAATGCACCTCTCTGTCTGCATTATTTTCAGTGCTTCAATGAGTGGTGAGTCTGAAAGTAACCCAGTGGACTGTTTTCAAATCACAGCTATAATTAAATCAGCACCACTGGCTTCACAGTTACACAGGGCTACTGAATCACGGCCCGACTAGATTAGCAAACTACTGAGTAAGGAAGCAGCAGACATAAAGAAGACATTTGTCATGAATGGTACATAATATCACAGTAGGCTGTTAAAACCAGGTAATGAGGTAATATTTCAGCAGTTTAAACAGTGTGAACCTCACTGAAAATGTGATGTGGCTCGTTTATCACAGAAAGAGGTCTAGAAATGTCTAAATGATTCATAACATAAGCTTATGTTTTATACAAAGAGATGGTGGGTATCATTATGTGAATTAAGAATTAAAATAAAAATTATAATTATCAAGCAAACAAACCCTAGTTTCTTCTCAAATGTTTTAAAGGTTAAATCCATTGATTAAATCCCACAAAATTACAGATTATGTCTGAGATTTATAGTAGAACTTCTTTTTACTCACATTTTATACTTTTAAAATGTCTAAAATGTGTTTTTTAATCTCTCTCATCTTGGCTTTTATTTTGCTCAAAATATTCCTAAACATTCTCAGGTACAGTGGGTCACACATACCTGTCCAGCTCTTGACACCTTGCAACACAACAGGGCACCACTAAATTCACTGCTAAATGTGTAAAATCCCACCGTAGAGCGATGTGCTCTGTCTCTCTTTTATCTGTTCCTAAATGATAGAAGTCAAAAGCCACATGGAAAAAAGACCATGAGCAAAAAGATAGAATGAGGCCATGAGCGGGAAAAAAACAAATTCCTCTTAAGAGCTCAGGAGGTTACAACAGCCAAAACAACAAAATCACAAATGGGATAGAAATACTAAAATGTCATTATATTTTGAAAAAAAACAAAATCAATTGTATTGATGCTATGAACATTAGCATTCTGAAGGGGAAGGTTTGGATATAAAATGCAGAATTGCATAATCTATCAAAACATCTAACTAAAATGAACCAAAACTCGTAACATCTGACACGGTTAGGTTTTTGAAGGTCAATTACATCAGCCCCCCACCCTCCTGGCACTAGACCAGGAGAGCGGGTAGTCTAAGGAATGCACGGGCCGACACTTGTTAGACTATACCATTGCTCCTAACTCCGAGTTCCTACTGGAACCCTGGGCTGAAAGAGAGAATACAAATAGTACCTAGGTCTAGGTAAATAAACTACCAGGCCCCAATGGGTAGAGCAGGAGTTTGTACACGCTTTGATCACTTTTTTTTTTCTTGAAGTGATGCCAAATCCAAAAATCCAATAAACGACTGAGCTAGTGGTCCATAGGGCTACTGTTGGAAGGTTTAGTGCGAAAATGGGTGCAGGCCTAACTATGTAGAAACCTTAGGGCTACTGTGGGTAGGTTTAGGGACCGAGCTGGTATAGGCCTAGATCGAAAACTGAACACTGCTCGGTGTACAAACCACAGGTCTACAGACCTAGCTTATCAAAAGCGACAACCAAACGACACTCTGTGTACAAGCCGCAGGGCTACTGTGGGTAGGTTTAGGGATAGAGATGGTATAGGCTTAGATCAAAAAGCGAAAAACCGAACTCTGCTCAGCATACAGGAAAACCTGATCCGCATAGAAGTACTTTCCCTACTCCATACATGAGGGAAATATTCGAGACACTCTTGACAGTAGTGTACCTCAGATTCACCGGATGTTTCGGCTCTTTAAACACCAAACACCATCCTCTGAGGTGGCCCAATCCTGGATGAGCAGTCCAGGACAGGTGTCTCATGATCAATTGCTAGTCAAGATGGACCAGATCCTCAATAACCTAAGTTGTTGGGCTCTGCTTACAGGACTTTATCGGGACTGATAATTCTGCCGGAATCAAATTAATCTCTTAGAAGCGAACCTCCAATCCAGAAGAGGACAACCCTTAAAGAAAAACTAGCAATGGGCGGGCAGCGATACTGGCGGATGAGGAACTACCAGCTCCTAGCATCAAGCTTCTACCAGTACTTTCCCCTCGAAGCCAAGGCAAACCAAACAGACATCATCCCACTACAGGACAACTGCTGGATGCATTGACTCCTGAATTGGAGTTCTTTCTGAAGGGACAAAACCCGAATTTGTGCAACCCTCGAAGACGAAAGAAAGGTCAGTGTGCAAGTATGTTGTTTGCAGGGTGTGCTGTTGCATGTGGGGTGCTAATCACCCGTAGAAGACTGGGCTCCATTTAAGCTATGTTAGCCCCAGATCACCTTCCCTGCATGCTGTCCTAGTGGATCCAGGGGGGCTGGATACTTACCGCCCTCCCAAACAGTCCTTTGTTAACACCGCAAAGTATCCAGGCTACTCGGGAAAGACCTGTGTCTTTGGGGACCTTTGTCAGCCCTGCTGACTTAACCCAGAGAGCCTTTGTACGGAAAGTCCCCAAATGGCGACCTTACATTGCTGCCAGGCCCATCTAACTCCACAGACAAGACCCACTACAAGACTCTGTACACCAACCTCTTCCCTCGAGAGTAGAAAGGATTGAGCAGATCTAATCCTTACCAAAGGATGAAATCGTCAACTGCAGATGCTACCAGATGGTGCAGCTCTGATCTATACAATGACCGAAAACTGTCCTTCCCCTCTATTCTAAAGATTGACGACCAAAGACCAATTTTTTGTTCTAAAAGGAGCTCAGCTAAAGAACGCTTATCGAAAACCAAGAACCGACAACTGCTCTTCCCATCTCCACAAAAAAGAGATTATTTTAAAGGGAAACCTCAGTTCCTCTAATTCTTTGAGACAACAACCAATTGCCAAAAAGCTTGAACCTCTGTTCTGAAAGGGGTTCGGAAAAAGGAGTTAATTCTGGGACAATCTCCCCAAATTCCTCCCCTCATCTTAACATGCCCCCTCTGTTGTTTCACAGTTTGATGTTTTTGTAGCAGCTTACCCTGAAATAAAAAAACAAACAAACAAGGTTAACCCTACTAACCCCTTGTTCTCGACTCTCATTTAGACAACCTGGGTGTTTCACAAAAACAGCAATGATCTTTTAAACCATACATTTGGTAAAAAGGAAAACGCAACACCACCACTCGATACTAGCCTAACAATGAAGACCCTGAGACAAGTTCAGAACCAAAAAAGACTATTTATTAAACAACCCAGTGCACAAACTAAATCTCCAGCTGATCCAGACAATGTTTGAACATCTCTTTCGCTGTGTCTGGTGCCCGTGAATTCCATCCTCCACCGCCCTAAACAGTCCCTAGGCAGGGAAGGAATACTATATTCAGTTCTCTGAATGATGTCATTTAGGGCCCTAAGGTTCCCGACACAACTACCTGGCACACTCTCACTCTAGTTGAGCATTGCCCTAGGTTTCCGCCTTTTGGACTAGTTGCTCCAGTACCTCCTGGTCCCCCTGTGCCCTGTTGTTAAAACCAAATGACAAGATCACATGCTGGGCCTTCGGGAAAATGGGCATCTTATTCTTAAGAACATGGCACGCATGGCTCAAATTTGCCCCTGGGAAACGATGGACCTCTATGTCTCTGTTCCCATATCGAGGGAGATGACTAAGATTGGAATCACCCAGGATAAGGATCGACTTTTCCAGGGTAAGACTCCAGAGCTTGTACTTATTCCCCGTACTCATGCCTTTTGAACAAGCTCCAGGTCACCTTGGCCTCTTCGCCCTCTGGATCCTCCACCTGGGACCTCAGGAGCATGTTGGCCCTGTGCTTCCTGCTTTGCTACTCCTAGGACACTAACTGGCATAAGTGCCACTACCCTGTTCCTCCTTGGGCCTAAACTCTTGCTACTCTTTTCTAAAGGGCCTACCTCTTTATTTATTATACAAGCACCACTTAGCCTGTAACCACATGAAACCAGATATATTTCCCAGTATATTTAAAAAAAATTGTAGTAGCCTAAGCTTTTCTTGCCTTGAAACATGTTAGCCCAAACATAAACATCTGCACTTGCTATATAAATATACATAAACTATTTTTTTTATAAATGCATAGATATGTACCCTGCCATTTTTAAAAGGCCTATACAGTATGTACTGGTTCACAATTATTGAAAAAAAAGGTATGCAGTTTAGGTTATCGCTAAATTGCTCCCAAATGCAAGATTGTATCAGAATAGTAGAATCAATAGTGAATAATAGTGAAGTATCTCTTCTATAATTACTTTTTATTTTTATTTATTTTTTTATTCTTCTCCTGGTTGTTACCTCTTTATTCCCCAAACTTTACATATTGTTCCCTTATACTTACATGTAAGTACTTTATGGGCACACTATAATTACTGAAATTTACTCTGTAAATTCATATTAATTACACAGTATTTTCTGGGCTGTAATCTAAAGCGTTACCGAAAATTTCAAGAGGTCCTCGCTGCAGTCTGTAGCACGATGACGTAGCTGGACGGTCCAATACGTAGTGGATGGATGTGTGTTTTGGTGACGTCATTTACGCATGCGCAGTGCCGATTTCTGATTATAATTCGAATGCATTGGTTTTAAGTGATATGTAAGCTCAATATTGTACTGAGATGATGTTCAAACTGTGTAGTATAATACTGTTAAATAATAATAAGTAATTATTGATGAATAAGTAAGGAAAATGCTAAAATAATAACAGCATGGGGGAAATAAATCTTGTAATAATAAACTCGCATTTATGTTATTGTTATACATTCAGAATTGCGAGAAAAAAGGTCAGAATTCTGACTTTATAGTACACAATTGCGACTTTATTTCACGCCATTCTGTCTTTATAACATGCGATTGAGGCTTTATTTCACCTAATTCTGTCCTTATAACATGCGATTGAGGCTTTATTTCACCTAATTATTTCTCTACAACATGAGATTAAGGCTTTATTTTACCTAATTCTGTCTTTATAACATGCGATTGAGGCTTTATTTCACCTAATTCTGTCTTTGTAAGATGCGATTGAGGCTTTATTTAACCAATTCTGTCTTTATAACATGCGATTGAGGCTTTATTTCACGCAATTATGTCTTTATAACATGCGATTGAGGCTTATTCAAGCAATTATGTCTTTTATTACATGCGATTGAAGCTTTATTTCACCCAATTCTAACATGCGATTGAGGCTTTATTTCAAGCAATTATGTCTTTATAACATGCGATTGAGGCTTTATTTCACCTAATTCTGTCTTTATAACATGCGATCGAGGCTTTATTTCACCTAATTCTGTCTTTATAACAAGCGATTGAGGCTTTATTTCAAGCAATTATGTCTTTATAACATGCGATTGAGGCTTTATTTCACGCAATTCTGACTTTATATCTCACAATTCTGAGAAATAAAGTCAGTATGCGAAAAGTATACTCGCAATTGTAAGGAAAAAGTCGCAATTATTAAAAAAAGTTTTATTCTGAAAGCTCTGAAAATAAGAGCTTCGCTCGTGACCATATTTAAATGTATTCTTGGAAGATCAACGATTGTTCACCAACTCTCTACACTAACTAGGCCTATGAATTATTAATGTGCATGTGCCATCAGCGTTTATCACAGGATCGCGTTTAAAGTCTGTTTAGAGAGAACGGTGTCATCCCCTAATTTAATAACAAATTATCATTTCGACACAATCAAAACTAACTAGCTGTAAAATAACATTATTCATGAACCGCTATAAAGCAAAAACAATCTGTTACATTAAATTAAAGCTGCTTTGAAACAATCTAAATTGTTAAAAGCGATATATAAATCAAGATGACTTGACTTGACTAGTGCGCATGCGCGCGTTACAGGGTCCACTACGTATTGGACCATTCAGCTACGTCATCGTGCTACAGGCTGCAGCGAGGGGTGTCTCGAAAATTTTAGTACAAGTGGGTCAGGAACCTATTTTATCTGAAAATCGGATGGATGGAGGGATGGATGAGTAGGTAGATGTCTATTCTCAATTTCAGTCACTATAAAGATCTGTTTAAAAATAAATTGTAAAGAATTGTGATGAAATGAGATGCAACATTCTCTTCCTGTGAGGACAAGTATCTGTCTGTGAGCATCATGGAAATGCATAGAGACTCATCTGTGTGATGAGATCTAAGCTGGCAACACCATAATATATGGCAACAGCATGAATTTTAATGAAATACTCTCCTGTGAAAGCCCCCCTCAGGTGTCAAAGTCTGAAAGAAAGATCTCAGAGAGAAAATCTAATGGGTAATTCAATTTTGAGGTGTCACTGCCTTTCTTGACCTCTATGCAAATCCTCTGGATATTTTTAACCTGTTTTTTTTTTTGTTTTTGTTTTTTCCTTTGACACATTTTCATTTTTCGGTCTGCTATGTTTACAACGGGGAAAACACTTTAGATGGTAAGGTGAAAATAATCAAATAATTTGTTTTTATAGGCCTAGTCATTCCCAATAAACATTTCTCTTTAAGTAAATAAAACATTTGTCTGATAATTCTTTTACAAGAACTTGGGTTGACATTATAATTTATGTAATAATTAAGTAAATATAATGAAATTAACTTGTCCTCCCACCATCTTGTAGGGTCCAAATACAAATGTTATTTCTTTGGTGTCACAATTTTAAGAAACAAAGAAGACAGTAAATCTAAAGCTGTTAATAAATTAAGACACTTGCATCGAAACATTCTTCAATGTATTTTTTGTCGTTTTTATTGGTTTTCAGATATACAAGTACCTTTGTGACTCATATCTTCTAAAGATTTTGGCCCCGCAGGTCAGGCAATTGAGGTCAGTAGCTACTGGGCTACTAATTCGAACATTTTGAAATGTGCCTCTGATTGCTGCATGACACAGTTCCTCAAAAGTACTGAATAAATAATAAACAGCAATGACATGGTGGGAGGACTTCCCTGCTTCCCAGAATCCCTAGAGATTCAATTAATCCTGATTACCAGCCCAACCATTTCCAACACCGCTCTCTCAAAATGAGTACATGAGCCAAAGCATCAGCCAGTCCAGTATGCAATATTTATCAAATAGATTCCTTCATTTTCAAATGAAAATGAGTAGTGCTTGCCGTGTGTGGTTGCCAAGGCATTACTATGTTGTTGCTAAGGTTTTCTTAGAGTTTTTCTAGCACACTGGTAAGCTCTTTCACTCCCAGCAAAAAAAAAAAAAAATGAGTGTAGTTTTTTTGTATGTATTATTCTGGCATATCATAAAACATGGTTCAAGGGGGATAAAAAAAGAAAGATTAAAATTCAAAACGTGCCAAATTAAAAACTTTTTCTTTTTTTCTTTTTCATGATTCCCTATTAGCTTTTGTTTGGCCACCATAGCTGATTTAGGTGTGGAATGGAGCTGAATTATTGAATGGCGAAAAAGAATATCCTCAGAAGAAGAAAGTGAATCTGTTGGCAGTCAGCAAAGTTCAACGTCCCCTGAAATCAAAATTAATATCGCAGTTTATTAGCTTTTATTATGAATATGTTAGCCTTGAGGTTATGAATAAGCTGTTGTTCAAAAAAAGGACCAAATTCACATTTAGGAGCATTCAAAACTTGGCTCAAAGATTTTTATGACATCACCGCAGACTTGTTCTGCACCATCTTCTGTCCAATCACCGCAGACTTGTTCTCACCATCTTCTGTCCAATCAAATGCTCTACTGGACCTGAAACGTCCTGCCCCTGTTATAAATACCACTTGACCAAAGCATTTGTTGACTCGTCACGGAGCAATATAGGTTGAAGATGTTTGTTGGTTGCTTAAATGCTCCAGTTTTATTCAGTTTTCCAACTTTACATTAGCTAAAATGAAATGGCTTGAATTTATTCTAATTCTAATCCATTTAAAGCACTCGGATTCGCTTCTATGGTGCTGTCAAGTACTGCTTGCTTTCTGTGAGGTAAACTAAATGCTTTTGGCTATTTGGAAAGAGGGAGGAGCCATTCAATATGTCCCACTTTAGCTTCCTGTTCCCTTTCGATGGAACTCTACACTGCGTCGAGAATCGACACTTTGGGG